CTCTCGTCCTCCCCTCCCTCCCCCCCCTCCCGCCCCGCGGCAGTCAGAGCTAGTGCTAATTTCAGGGAGTTTCTGCCGAAGCCATAGCTGCGTCCTTGGTGGGGGACGTCTCCCCCCCGTGGCTGGGGGGGGCAGGGTGTGAAGCACAGATCCCCGCCCCCACCCCCTGTCAGGGTTAGTTCTGTTCTTCTCCCCCCTGTCCCCGTGCACAGAAAGAGAAAAAAAAAAAATGCGAAAAAAAATTCACCCCCCCCTCCCAGAAACTCGTCTCTATTTTTTTTATGTATTAAAAGTTTTAATGAGTAGATGAGGGCCGGGTCCTGCCTCTGCTTCCCTGGGGAGGGACGGCGCCCCCCCGGGCCAGGAAACCGTTACCCCTGGATGGGAGGGTGGGGGGGGACACACACACCTTCCGTGGCATCCTGCCTGGCACCCATCAGAAGAGTCCTAAACCTGAGCACAGCTCGGCCTGGCTGCAGGGTGGGCAAGGGGCATGGTAAGAGGAGTGCAAGCCCCATGGGGAAACTGAGGCAGGTGGGTGGATGGGACTGGCCCATGCTCAGGCAGGAAGTCCGTGATAGCTGGGGAGAGAACCCAGGAATCCTGGCTCCCAGGCTCTGTCCTCTTCCCCTTCTCCTGGCTAACTCTAACCACTAGACCCCACCCCACTCCCCTCCCAGAGCTGGGGAGAGAACCCAGGAGTCCTGGCTCCCAGCCCCTACCTGATGATTCAAACGCCCTTTCCCCGGCTGTGGTGCCCCTGCCTGCCAAACAGACACGTTGCTCTTGGTGTTTATTGGGGAGGGGGGTGGTTGCTGCCCCCCACATCTGGGCACTTTGGGGTGCAGCCCCTGGGAGGCTGAGATGGGGTGGGGTCACCCAGTCCCCAGGGTGGCTTCTGCAGTGGGGCCTTTGCTGTCCAGCCCACTTGAGTCAAGGTCTGTCCGTCCATCCCCACGCAGCCCTAGCTGGCTGTGGTCTGCCGGCCCCCTCAATCTGTGTCCATCCCTGTATCCTCATGCACCCCAAAATCTATCCCCAGCTGCCCCCCTCTGTCTGTCCCTCTGGGAGTCAGCCCTTTGATTCTTCGCGAGGAGCTGGGCGTGGGAGCTGGTGGTGGGTAGATGGGGGGGCAGAGGGGAAGGAGGGCTGGGGTCCATGGGACAGCGGGTGGGGGGTGCCCCACTCAAAATCAGCCAGCGCTCTCCCGCCAAAGCCTTCCAGCCCCTGCCACCGGTGGATCCGCACCGGCTGGCACCGGGGCATGATGATGCCCTGGCAGCCGGGGGCGCTGCGGCTAGCAGCACGAGGAGAAGCAACAGCCTCCTGGCGGCCCAGGCTGCGTCCGGCTGGGTGTTGGCGCAGCCGCTCCAGGGCAGGAGCCCAGCCCCCCCAGCGCACCCTGCCGGGAACAGCTCCAGGGGCAGAGCCGCCCAGGCTTGTCTGTTCCCAGCAGCCGCCTCCCGCATGGTAATTCAGGGTGCGTCAGGGACTTCTGGTTAAAGGCCGCCTGTTCCCAAGGCCTCTGAAATCCACCAGCTTCGGCAGAGCCCCTTGAAATGCGGAGCCCCTCGGGAGGGCGCGGGGCCGGGTCAGTCACCCCAATTTGGGATTGTTTGAGCACCAGGTGCCGGAGATATTGCCTGCCCCAGAAGAGCCGTTTCCCCAACGTTTCTAAGTGCGTTTTTGTTGGTGTGTTTTAACACGGCGGCTGTGCCCGGACTGGAGAAGGGCTAGCGGGTTTCCACACCCTCCAGCAGCCAAACGGTTACGTGGCTTGCCTTGAAATTTGGTGTGGCTCACGGGGGCGCGGGGCAGCCTTGGAGAGCCAAATTTGGGGTTGTTAGACCCAGGGGTTCCTGAGTGACAGCCACCCTGAAATCGGTTTCCAACTGCTGCCGGGTGCTGTTAAGCTGAAAGAGTGTAATGACCGGGTAAATCGCAGCCCTCATTGAGATTGATAGCCATGAGCTCACCCTTCAATTAACTTATGGCTAAATTAAGGGCCAGGCCCCACCCAAGATAAAGGTGGTTTTGGACCAAGGCCTTGTCTCCACTTCAAACTGAGGTTGATACAGGTACGTGGGTGAGAGGTGTAAGAACATAAGAGCGGCCACACTGGGTCAGACCAAATGGCCATCTAGCCCGGTAGACCCCCTGCCGACTGGCCAATGCCTCGATCGCTTCCTTTAGCGGGGCTTCCGCAAGATGTGCTGAATCCTGGCTTTGGAGGGATGCTGTGGAGTGTAATGCTGACAGGTTTGGAGGGCGAGTGTGAGAACATAAAGATTATGTAGGGTCCTGAAGCCAAGGGCAGGGCGTGCGATGTCAGGGTAGAAAAGAACTGAAAACGTGCCCCGGAATTTGGGGCTGGCCGCTTGCCCGTAGCGAGGTCGACTGGCCCGTGTTCCCCCAATGATCTTTGTTTGCCACAAATGGTAGGCGCGGGTGACAAACGCGCCGGTTGTAGCCGTATGTTTAGTGATACTAACGAGCGCTAAGAAAAGCCGGGATCTCTCTCTCGGGTGTGACCAGCCCATGAGAATCAGCTGCCCGAAAGCGATAGCCGCTGTAGTAGTAATAAATCGCGTAGGGGGAATAAATAAATTGCCCGAATGCAATAAGAGATCAGGCTACACCACTAATTCCGACCAGCAGCGTGTCTTTTCCTGTTCGACAAGGTAGTCGATGGCAAAACCCCGACGTTAGCACAGAGTCAGGGTTGACGGGGGGGGGGGGGGTCGGCCGTGCGTTGCAGAACGGCTGAGTGGAGCGTAACTCAAATGTCTGCATGTGGGAAAATGCACAGTTAAGGTTGTCCATGTCACCTTAACTCTGCCCTCTTTTGGCACACCCCCATTAACACGCCTACCTTAAGTCTGCCAGCCCCGCAGTGGCTGAAATGTACACGCTTCTCACCTCCTTTTACAACTTGTTTGCATTGCCAGGTTGTCAGCTGTTTGGATTTTGCTCAATTCCCTGTTCTGCAAGGAGAGGACATACCTCCAAGCCACCTCACCCCTGGGTTAGTGTAGCCATGACCAGGGTTGGGAGGGGAATGGGGGTCTGGTGGGTTAGAGTGGGGGGGCTGGGACTCCTGGGTTCTCTCCCTGGCTCTGGCTGACCTTGGGTAAGTCTTCCCTCTGTTCTGTTTCTCCATCTGTCTCCCCTGGGAAATGAAATTTAATCTCCTTTTAAAGCATTTTTGGACCAAAACCCGAATCAGAACTGAGCTGAGACTCCCTGGACTGTCGGTCCCCATCCGCACCCTCCTGCCCCACATCCCTGGGGCATGAGCTGGCAATGGGGACCCGCCCCGTGCCACCCCCACACCGAGCTGGGGAGAGATAGGCCGGTCGGTGGGGGCTGCCCAGTCAGATGGGAAAACCGTGACCTTGGAGGGTGGGAATGTCCCTTTCCCGTCTCCACTGCCAGGGGAATCCGCCCTCTGCCCCCACCGCATCCGGTTCTGCTGCCTGCAATTCAAGATCAGGCGGGGAGGGGTCCGAGAAGAGCCGTGAGAATGATTTAAAGGGCTAGAAACTGGCTTGAGTGTGAGAGCTCCGGCTATTGGCGCAGCGGTGACTAGATCCGGGCAGTACGTATCGACGTGGGGGACGGATACTTAATAACGGGCTCCCTAGAAGGTCTAACACGATCCGACGGCTTTAAACCGAAGCTAGACAAATTCCAGCTGGAAAATAAAGTGTAAATCTTTACCGGTGAGAGGAATTCACCATTGGGCCAATTTCCCAAGGGACACGATGGATTCGCCATCTCTGACCATTTTAAAATCAAGCTGGGAAGTTTTTTCCCGAAGAGTTCGGCTCTAGGAATGATTTGGGGGCACGTCTCTGGCCCGGGTGGTACAGGGGATCAGACAATGCTCACAAGGGTCCGTTCTGGCGTGGGAAGCTGTTAATCTGGAATTCAGCTTCGTTTGTTGCAAGCCAGCTCCGGGAAAGGCGGCGAAGATCAGTTCAAAAATCTCCCGGGGGGCTCGGCCAAACCCAGCGCCGGCTCTTTTCCCAAGCGGCGACGTTGATTAAAAAGTATTCGGATGATGCAGACGCCCCCCGGCTGGAAGCAAGCGGCATTGCCGTGGTCTGCGGTGTGCGGAAAGGTGGCTTCCGTCTGCAACTGGACCCTCCCGGCTCGGCGGGGGCCTGATTTGACACGGAGGGACGGGGGAAACGGGTGACTTGCAGCGGGTTGAGTGGAATTCATTTCCGGAAAGCCAGCGCAGCGGCGATCCGGCGCTTGGACCGTGGCGAGATTTGCGAGCCGTTCTCCTGCCTCCGGTGCCGCTTTCGTAAGTGGGTTTTGTCGGAGGACTCACTTCTCCCTTGTTGAGTGAGTGAGAGAAACCAGCGTCTGTTCCATAGTTTCGCTTGACGTTTATTTTTATCGATTTTTGCATTTCCCCAGTTGCACAAAATTAGGGCGTTTTAAGCATTTAAAACTTTTTTTATTTGATTTTTAAATTTTTAGTTGCGGCAACTTAGGGGGGTGGGGGGCACGTGCCAGCCACTCGAGGGGCTCAGGGAATAAGTATTTAATTCACGTAGACGTTGAGATCCATAACGACACATCAAACCACACCGGCTCCATGTCACATGTCACAATATAGAACTATCTTTCAATCACACGCTGGTACGGGTTCCCAGGCAGCGTTTTTTTCATGCGTTGCTGATCTGTGACTTTCGCTTGGGAGCGATAAATTGTTACTAGGGCTTTGGGCGTGGGCGGCGATTTCCACACACTGACCCATTAGATATCGAATTCTTCCGAGCCGGTTTATAGGCCGCACTTGACTCAGTGACGGATGCCACCTGTCGCCACTAAGGGGCGCTAGCTGCACACCCGAGGGCTAGGGGCTTCCCCTCTGGGAGTGTCCTGGAGTCTCCAAGAATTAAAGATTATGCCTGGGATGAAACTTCCAGGAGCGTCCAACCTAGGGTGACCAGACAGCAAGTATGAAAAATCGGGACAGGGGAGCGGGGGTAATAGGATCCTATATAAGAAAAAGACCCAAAAATCGGGACTGTTACTGTAAAATCGGGTCATCTGGTCACCCTAGTCCAAACCAAACTGGCAGCCCTGGGTGCTTCTGTATGAGATGCATTCGTTCACCAGGAACAGGGGCGTGAAATCAAGGTGGCGCGGGGCTGGGCCAGAGCCCCCCGCCCCCGGCTGATTTGCTCTGTACTGAAGGGTAGAGATGCCCCAGCGTGACGGGGAGAAGTTGAGAAGTGTCTGACTCCTTTTTAGACCAACGCCGGAGACTGAACTGTTGGGGAACAGGAGAGCTGGTGCGGCCAACAGCGTCCGAGGATGGCAGGCAATTGGCCAGCAGAGAGATGCCCCAATCGTCTCAGTAGGCTCCAGGGGACAGCGAACCCTCCCCCCCCCCCAATGGCCCCTGCCTCGCTGACCTGGGGCGCGCCAGGGCGGAGCACGGGAGTGCGGCCCACAGGCCGGGCCTTTAGAAAGGGGATTTTCTGAAGCGTCTCAAAGCTCCCATCCCATCACTGATGATTCAGAGGAGAGTGGGAGTGGACCATCAACTCCCTGCAGCAGCCCGGAGCTGGAGTTGGGACGGGCCCAGGGCTGGCCCAGGTCAGTGACTCCCCCACTCCCAATCTCTGTGCGCGGTAGTTTGGAGGATCTTAACAACTCCCAGCGTTTCTCTGCGCTCACACCAGGGCAGGGTGGGGGAGTGAATCCATGAATGGGATCCCCTGGCCAAGCTGGGCATTGTCGAGTGATCGAGCCCCAGCATGAGACAAACATCCTGGTAATTACCCCAAACTCCCGCTGCAACCCATCAGCCGCTGCTCCTCCGCCCCCGGCTCCCGTCCCCAGGGCCACGGCTGCTAACGACGCCCAGAGCGGCAGGGAACCGTTACCGGTAATTAAGACCCTGGGGATGGATCAAAGAGGGGAGCATGGGTTACCCCGGGGAAGGGACATCCTGCCTTCCCCGTCTCTGTCAAACCTCCTAGCGCCTGCCTGCTCCCGCGAGAACCGCGCCTGGTGCTGTAGCTTCCCCCTGCTCTCTTAGGCCAACACGCCTTGACCAAAAGGCCGTGGGACAAACCGAGCCAACCCCCATGACAAACCGGTTTCTCGCAGACCTGACAAACTCGCTACCCCCAAGTCTGGCAGGAGGTTTAGCCACCAAGGCTGGGGGGTGGTGGTGGTGAGGGAAGACATATGAGATTGTGACAAAGTAGGAATTTTTGTAATGTTTTTTGTAGGATGCTCCCACGTGCCTCAGTTCCCCCTGTTTTGTGCAATGCTACCCACAGTGTTTGTGTAGGGGGAGATAGGATTGAGTTTGCTCTCGAGACAGGCGAAGAGCCGGTGGGGTGTGTTTGTGTCGCCAGGCTGTGGGTGGACTGAACGGAGCCATGAATGGTCTGTTTACACGGCAGTGTTAGCCCAGGGTGAGTCAAACTGGAGCGAGCAGATGCTGGGTTTGTTAACGCAGGGCTTGAGCGTCTATACTCAGTGGTAAGCCCAGGAATGGTGGACCCGGGTCCCAAGCTGCAGCTCCAGTGTCCACGCTGCATTACACCAGCCTGCGTCCAACCACCCGTATCCCAGCCCCCTCCCAAAATGTAGCTGCTTTTGCCCTTTGTTCGTGGTGCAGGCTGGGGAAACTTGACCATCCCCCAGACTCAACGGGCCAGAGGATAAAGGAAGCCGGGATCGTGGGATGCTTTTGGCGGATTCCCCAGTGGGTCCGCATCTGCACTGCAAATCAATAGGGCTCGATCCCTGTCTCCTGTCTTCACTCACACTCACCCCCTGTGGGGTCCTGGGACCCTGGGCTGATGGACAGTGATGTCCCCTCAGTTCTCCACCACCCCGTGCCTTTCACACCACTTCCCTGTGACAGCCCTCACTCCTGGTCTGCTCACACGCAGCCTCCAATGTGTAAATCACGCCCCAGTTCTACTGCACCAGCCACCCAGGAATTACACTGCAGAGCGACACCAGCAAATTCCCAGCTCCCCAGCACGGTACGTTGTTCACTGCCCAGCCCCCTCTTGGACATCACCAGCTCATCCATAGCCCATCATTTCATGAACAGAAAACGAGCGGCACAAGGAGCCCCCTGGACACTTCCATCCAAATCCACCCAGGTCTAAATAAAACAAGAAAACCAGTTTATTAACTCCAGAACAATAGATTTTAAGTTGATTACAAGTAACGAGGCATAAAAGTCAGAATTAGTTACAAAGAAACAAGAGGTAAAAATGCAAACGAATCCCAAACTTAACAAGCGACATGAAAGGGTCTCTCTCTCTCACCACATGATCTTTCCGGCTGGATCTTTCAGCCAGGATCACTCCCCAGTCCAGTGTCTTTTAAGTCGATGCCGTGACTGGAGATGAAGGGAGAGAGAATTTGTGGTCTCTGTTCCTCAATTATATCCTTTTCCTCTTTGAGGATCATCCTCAGCTGGGGTTGAGCAGACAGCCTGTCTCTGGGACAGGAACTTCCAGCTCTTTTGCTAGGATGTAAATTTCTCGCTCACGCCTCTCTTCCCACCAAAGAATGGCCGCTTAACCAGGCGATAGTCCATTTGATGACGTTGACACCTGACTGAGACGTCAGTTTGCCTTTTGTCTCTGAGGAACTGGTTTGTGCCTGCTTTTCTAAACTTGGAACACAGCTCAGCAATATCATACGTAGAATTGTATAACTTTTCATACAATGTTGCCATGCATTTTTTTTCCAGGACAATAATGTTCAGTAGATTATGAGTTTTCGAATGATACCGGCACAAGGCATACTTGGTACAAAATTTATCATAGTCTTGAAAAAAGGATGAACATCAGTGTCCAGACTGTCACACTGGGTTAGCGTGATTTGTGTGTAAACAGAAAGGGGTTAGGTTTGCTCTTGACTTTGAGCCCTGGGTTTTCCCTGCAGTGTAGACATTCCCTAAGGAACTGGTTGAAACCAGCCTGAACCAATAAGGTGCCTTCACCAGTGGTTTTCAACTTGTGGTCTGCAGACCTCTGGTGGTTCGCAGGCCATGTCTAAGATTCCCAAAGGGGTCCGCACCTCCATTTGACATTTTTTAGGTGTCCGCATATTAAAAAAGGTTGAAGAACCCCTGGGTTAGACAGCCAACGCCTGCTCCAACGACTCATGGATCGACGGTCTCTGTGGGGGAGCTAAGACAAGACCCCCCCCAGCCTTAGGTCACGGGGCTGGAAGGTGCGAGGCAGTGAGGCCGTGGGGAAGAGTGAGACCCCGTCCTTTGCGGTCTGGGACATGGAAGGGCTTCCTCCGAGAGACTGTCCCAAAGCTGGTCCCGATCCTGGTGGGAAGCTCAGACCTGGTTCAGACGCATAACGGGGGGAGGGATAGCTCAGTGGTTTGAGCATTGGCCTGTTTAAACCCAGGGTTGTGAGTTCAATCCTTGAGGGGGCCACTTAGGGATCTGGGGCAAAATTGGTACTTGGTCCTGCTAGTGAAGGCAGGGGGCTGGACTTGATGACCTTTCAAGGTCCCTTCCAGTTCTAGGAGATAGGATATCTCCATTAATAAGCACGGTGAGACATACATGCGGGTTATATCTAGAGTGTCATGGTTTAATATTGACAGTCGCATCCCTGACCACCTTGGCTAATAGCCATCACTGGACCTATCCTCTATGAACATCTCTCGTTCTGTTTCGAGCCTGGTTCTAGGCTTGGCTTCCACAACATCCTCCGGTGGCGAGTTCCACAGGTTAACTGCGCCTCCACACAGTCAGAACCGCAGGGACAAGGGACATCACCGTGGGCAGGAGCTAGTCCTGGCTATGAATAACGACAAACGTTTGCGGTCGGTGTCACCGAGTGTTGGGAAAGGCTCCAGTCCCTGAGGAAAACCCCTTGCCAAGGGAGCTTTCGTGAATGGGCCGGCCGGGTCCACAAGAACCAGGATCCAGCCGCTTGAGCGTCGGGGGAAGGGGGAACCGACTGTATTAGCCAGGGCAGTGTTGGAGTGGAAAAAGGGATGAAGGGAATTTAGATGCAGACATCTTAGTTTTCAACAGACTAGAGCAAGAGTCAAGCTAACTGGAACTCTAATAACGCGAGACTTTAAGGCAGGGCCTGGGCGAAAACTGTAAGAGATGCTGGTTGACCTTGTGTTCGATAAGAATG